GTCTTTGTCATTTATGACTTTGATATTTTTGAAGAATAGAGGCAAGTTATTTTGTACTATATCTCCTAATTTGGTTTTCTCAAATTTCCTCATGAGTAGATTCAAGTTAGGTATTTTTGGCAAGAATAATATTGTGTTCTTCTCAGTGCAACATATTGAAGGCAAATGATGTCTATTTGCCCTTTTACTGTGGGAGATTAACTTTGAGCACTTGGTTAAGAAATGTGTGTCAGATTTCTTCAGCACAAACTTACTATTTCTCCTTTGTAATTAATAAATTTCATGTGGAGAGATACTTTGAGACTATGTACATATTTTATTTCCTATCAAACTTCTACCCATTAGTTTTAGGATCTCTTGATGATTCTTACCTGAAACACTTATTACTATGTTAGTTGCCAAATTATGATATATTAGTATTTTAAGTAAATTAAAGTATAAATAAAGAAATGACAACATAAAAAGAAAACCACAACAACAAAACCAGGCAGATTTGTAAAAGAACTAAAGAGAACATCCAGAAATGACAGACAATGTCATTGAAATTCAGAAGTTAATGGATGAATTAAAAACACATTAAATGCAGCTGAACAGAGAATTAATATACTAGAAAATGTCTCTGGAAAATTATTCAGAATCCAACCTAGCAATATAAAGAAGTGGACATTTTTAAAGCAAAATTAAAAGTCATGAAAGATCTAATGAGAAGGTACAACATAGGTTTAATAGATGTTTCAAAAAAAAAAACAGAAAAGGAGTAATTTTCAAATAGATAGTGGCTGAGAGTTTTGCAAAATTATTAAGACAAAAATTCTTAGATTCAGGATGTACAACAAGCAGAATAAATAAAACTAAATCCACACTAGATATACCTTAGTGAAATTGCAGAACATCAAAAATAAAGAAAACTTAAAGAACAAAAACAAGGTAAAAAAGACAGATTTGCTACGAAGTTTGAGAATCCAACATACAGCAGGTTTATGGACAACAACAAGAGAAGCCAGAAGACAATGGAATATTTTAAAGCCGAGAGTTTACTGTAGTCCCCCCTTATCTATGGTTTTGCTTTCCACATTTTGTTACCTGCAGTCAACTGCAGTTCAAACAGACTAAATGGAAAATTTTAGAAAAAAAAATGTTAAATTTCAAATTGGGCACCTTTCTGAGCAGCATGAAGAAATGTCTCACCATCCCACTCTGTCTTGCCCAGGCGAGATGTGAATCATCCCTTTGTTCAGCATATTCATACTACATGCACAATCCACCTGTTAGTCACTTATTAGCCATATTGGTTATGAGATTGACTGTTGTAGCATCTCAGTGCTTGTGTGCAAGTAACCCTTATTTCACTTATGGCTCCAAATCACAAGAGTAGTGATGCTGGCATATTGTTATAATTGTTCTATTTTATTATTGGTTATTGTTGTCAATCCCTTAATGTGCCTAATTCATAAATGAAAGTTTACCACAGTTATGTATGTATAGGAAAAAACATGGCATATACAGGATTTGGTACTCTCCATAGTTTCAAGCATCCACTGGAGGAACTGGAAAGCTTCCCCCACAAATAAGGGGGGATTACTGTACTGTCAATATAGAATCCTCAATCAAGCTTAACAACCATTTAAGAGTGTAGCCATTCAAAAATTTTAAGACAATAAAATACTGAGAGAGTTTACTCTTTATAGTTTCTCTATTTAAAAAATAAGTTAACATTTTATGTGGTAGGCAGAATCCTGAAATGGCACCCATGGTGCTTACCTGTAACTATTGTAAACATACCTTCTACTAGTTATTCAAACATTAATTGGGGTGCTGTTGTGAAGGGATTTTGCTGATGTATTGATGTCCCCAAATCAACTGGTCTTAAGGAGATTATCATACGAGTCCTTTAGATCTGGGCTTAGGGATCAGAGACAGGGGAAGTCAGAGAGACTCAAAGTGTGAGGGTAGTTGAAGGAGGCTACATGGCAAGAAACTGGGCAGCTTCTAGGAGCTGAGAGTGTAGACCCAAGCCAATAGTCACCAACAGAAAGGGATCCTAAATCCTATGACTACAAAAGCTGTAGTCACCGACATACTGAATAACCTTGGAAGCATATTATTTCCCAGAGCCTTCAGGAAGCAATGCAGGCTGGCTGACAACCTGATTTCAACCTTTTGAAAAGCTGAGCAGAGGTCCCAGTTTCCACCTGTGTCTGGACTCTTGATCCACAGAAACTGAGAGATAACTGAAAGGATGTACAGGCATACCTTGGATATATTGCAGGTTCCATTCTAGTCCACCAAAGTAAAGCAAATATTGCAATAAAGCGAGTCACACAACTTTTTCTGTTTTATACTACATATAAAAGTTATGTTTACACTACACGGTAGTCTATTAAGTGTGCAACGTCATTATATATAACAACAATTTACCTATCTTAATTTAAAAATACTTTATTGATAAAAAATGCAAACAATCATCTGAGTCATCAGTGAATTACAATCCTTTTGCTGGCAGAGGGTCTTGTCTTAATGCTGATGGCTGCTAACTGATCAGGGTGATGGCTACTGAAGGTTAGGGTGGCTGTGCCAATTTCTTAAAATAACACAACATCAAAGTTTATTGCATTGGTTGACCTTTTCATGAAAGATTTCTCTGTAGCATGAGATACGGTTTGATGGCATTTTAGACACAATAGAACTTTCATAATTGGAGTCAAACCCTGCCACTGCTTTATCCATCAAGTTTATGTAAACGTTCTAATTTTTGTTGTTGTTGTTGTCATCTCAGCAATGTTTACAGCATCTTCACCAGGAACAGACTGCCTGCATACACTACATCCATTCTGCAGCCCATAGATCAAGGAATAATTTTGAGCTTCAAATCTTGTTGCTTAAAAACTATATTTCATAAAACCATAGCAACCATAAACAGTGATTCCTATCATGGGTTTGGGCAAAGTAAATTGAAAATCTTCTGGAAAGATTCATCATTCTAGGTGCCATTAAGAACATTCATGTTCATGAAAGGAAGTCAAAATACAAACATTAACAGGAGTTTGGAAGAGTTTGATTCCAACCTTCATGGATGACTCAAAAAACCACTTTTTTTGCTCATCTATAAGAAGCAACTCATTACCAGTTCAAGTTTCATGAGACTGCAGTAATTCAGCCACATCTTCAAGTTCCACTTGTAATTATAGTTCTCTTGCTATTTCTACCACAACTGCAGTTACTTCCTCCACTGAAGTCTTGAACATCTCAAAGTCATGCTTTACCAGAAGATTTTCAAATTACTCCTTGATCCATGGGCTGCAGAATGGATGTTATATTAGCAGGTAGGAAAACAAGATTCATCTCCTTGTACATCTCCATCACAACTTTTGGGTGACTAGCTGAGTGTCAATGAGCAATAATATTTTGAAAGAAATCTTTTTCTCTGAGCAGTAGGTCTCAGCAGTGAGCTGCATATATTCAACAAACCATGCTGCAAATAAATGCGCTGTCATCCGGACTTAATTGTTCTATTTATAGAGCAAAGGCAGAATAGATTTAGCACAAATTATTAAGGGGCCTAGCATTTTTAGAATGGTAAATAACCATTGGCATCAACTTAAAGTCACCAGTTGAATTAGCCACTAACAAGAGAGTTGGCCTGTCCTTTGAAGCTTTGGATTCAGGCATCGAGGGCATCTTTTTCCAGTATAAGGCTGTTTCATATATGAAAATCTATTGCTTAGTGGATCCGCCTTCAACAGTTTTCTTAGCTAGATCTTCTAGGTAACTTGCTGCAGCTTCTACATCAGCACTTGCTGCTTCACCTTCCACTTTTATAACTTCTATGTTTTCTCTTTAAACCTCATGAGCAGCCTCTGCTTGCTTCAAACTTTTCTTTGGCAGCTTCCTCACCTCTCTCAGCCTTTATAAAATTGAAGAGAGTTAGGACCTTGCTCTAGATTCAGTTTTGGCTTAGGGGAATGTAGTGGCTAATTTGATCTCCATCCACTAAAATGTTCTCCCTATCAGCAATAAGGCTGTTTCACTTTCTTATCATTTGTGTTTGGTGGAGTAGGACTTTTAATTTCCTTCAAGAACTTTTCCTTCACATTCACAACTTGGTTAACTGTTTGGCACAAGAGGCCATACAATTTGGCCTCTCTCAGCTTTTGACATGCTTTCTTCACTAAGCTAATTAGCTTTTGATTTAAAATGGGAAACTCGCAACTCTTTCTTTCTCTTGATCACTTAGAGGCTATTGTGGGATTATTAACTGGCCTAATTTTAATATTGTTGTTCCTCAGGGAATAGGGAGACCCGAGGAGAGGGAGAGAGGCAGGGGAATTGTTGGTCAGTGGAGCAATCAGAATGCACACATTTATCAATTAAGTTCTTCCTTTTATAGACACAGTGTGTGGTACCCCCAAACAGTTACAATAGTAACTAGTAACACCATAAATCACTCATCACAGATCACCATAACAGATATAATAATAATGAAAAAGTTTGAAATATTGTGAGTATTACCAAAATGTGGTGTAGATACAGTTAGCACATGCTAGTGGAAAAATGGTGCCAACAGACTTGATCAACACAGGTATGCCACAAACCTTTAATTTGTAAAAAACACAATTATCTGCAAAGCACAATAAAGTGAGGTACAATAAAAGAAGGTGGCCGGGATCAGTGGCTCATGCCTGCAATCCCAGCACTTTGGGAGGCCAAGGCAGGCAGATCACTTGAGGTCAGGAGTTCAAGACCAGCCTGGCCAACATGGTGAAACTCTGTCTCTACTAAAAATATATATAAAAATTAGCTGGGCATGGTGGTTCACAACTGTAGTCCCAGCTACTCGGGAGGCTGAGGCAGGAGAATTGCTTAAACTCAGGAGGCAGAGGTGGCAGTGAGCTGAGATTGTGCCGCTGCACTCCAGCCTGGGTGACAGAGTGAGACTCTATCTCAAAACAAAACAAAAAACAAAACAAAACAAAAAAAGGCTTGCCTGTATGTTGTTGTAAACTACCAAGTTTCTGTTAATTTCTTACACTGTTATGGAATACTATTACAGTGTATTTTCAAAAGATGGAAGCTGGAGATATAAAAAGCAATGGATAACTCTAAACAAACGTTGACTATATGGGACAATATAAATAATAATAAAGATGGGGGAACACACAGAAGTTGGAAATGAAATACTAGCAAAAATTGTATTTCAAACAGATGTTCAGAGTTAAAAATTGGAATATCATTGTGTTGCTTGGGAAGAGCCTAAAGATACTGAGTAACTAGATTATGTAAAACCAGGTATGGATGTTTAAAATATGAGAGCAACCACTAGAAATTGAATGTATAAGATTTCTTTTCATTGTATTATAGGTAATTTCTCAGATCTACTTTTCATATCACACATTCTGTCTTCAGCAGAATTCAAACTGCCTTTTATCCTCTTCATTGTGTCTGGTTTTGTTTTGCTTTTTCATTCTTTACTTCATCCAATTATTCAGCAAAGGAAGTCATAAGATGTGACGATTTATTTTTATATTATTATGTTTTAAGTAAAGTGTTTTAGCTTTAGGCTGCTAAAATATTATAAGGTGTGCGCTTAAGCAAACATTTGTTTCCCACAGTTCTTGGTGCTTGAAATCCAAGACCAAGGTGCCAGCATGGTTGGGTTCTTGGTGAAGGCTTTCTCCTGGTTTACAGATGGCTGTCTTCTCATATCATCACATAGCGGAGAAGGTAATTACATGCCTTTATAAGGACACTAGTTCCATTCATGTGGGTCCCATCTTCATGTTTTACTTACCTCCAAAATGTCTCACTTCCAAATACCATCGCATTGGAGATTAGGTTTCAACATAGGAATCTGGGGAGAGGGGAGACAAACATTCAGTCCACAGCATAAAAAAATTCTGGATATAGAGAAGATCAGAAGTAAATCAACTCTCATAATTCACCACTATTAACATTACTGTATCTCTGTGTTTGCTTACATAGATGTTTACATTGGTAACCTATAAAGATATATGTGTATATCTACCTTTATTACGGTTATGAGAGTCATACTTTCATTAATAATTACAGCATAATAGTTAAAAGTACAAACTTTGGAGTCAGAGACATGGGTTCAAGTCCAGCTCCAGCATTTACAAGCTATGTGAACTTGGGCAAATTATTTAATCTTCAGAACCTGAGTTTCTTTTTCTTTTTCTTTTTCTTTTTTTTTGAGATGGAATTTTACTCTTTTTACCCAGACTGGAGTGCAATGACACGATCTCAGCTCACCGCAACCTCCGCCTCCTGTGTTCAAGCGATTCTCCTGCCTCAGCCTCTCAAGTAGCTGGGATTACAGGCATGCGCCACCATGCCTGGATAATTTTTGTATTTTTAGTAGACATGGGGTTTCCCCATGTTGGTCAGGCTCGTCTTGAACTCCCGACTTCAGGTGATCCACCCTCCTCGGCTTCCCAAAGTGCTGGGATTACAGGCATGAGCCGCCGTGCCCTGCCAGAACCTCAGTTTCTTTATCTGTTAAATGGAGGGAATGATTACAGTACTTGCCACATAGGATGGTCATGGGCTTAAATTTCAGTAACTATTTTTTATTTCTAAAATATACTTTTTCAAATAACTGTTACTGTTTTCTTACAGGGTCTTATCATTTCATTAAAAAAATTTTATTTCCTTATTTTATGTCTCTACTTTAAATATGTTTGCTTTATAGGATCTTTTGGGTAGTTCTGTCTTTTCAGGTTTTTGAGGGAACACATTCTCTTTTTGATTGTGTTATTTCTCTAGTTTTTCATGGATTATTTCTTGATGTGATTTACTTTAAAAAAATTTTTTTTCATGAGAGGATTTTAGATCTTCTGTTTAGGTGCTATGTCTTCCTGATCCATGGTTTCAAGAGCTCACATTACTATCACGATGGCTACTGTTCACTTTTAATTCCAGCACATCTATGTGCCTTTTCTTGTTTGCTTAATTGTGTATTTTATCCATCATTTCTTTGGGTTTGTGTTATTATAACTGTAAGAAATCATCTCCATCAGTAAAATTCTAGACATATCAAAATTGGGAAAAATTTTAGAGTGGACACTTAGCTTTCCAGCATTCTCCAATAATATGTAAGCACAAACTGTTTCTAGTGAAGTGCAAGTCTGGTCTTGATTCATAAACATGCTAAATTGTCAGCCTCCCTCTCCTGAATTAAAAGCATATGCATCACTCTACTAGTTAAGCAAGACATTCTCATTTGACTATGTAAGTTGCAGGGAATGAAAAGGAAGAGTTTGAAGAAGTTTATGGAGGACAGGAGAGAAAGTAGAGAACATTAGCTTTTCAGACTTTTGTTAACAGTCTGAATTCTAAGGAAATGAAGACCGGCAGTTACAATGTGCCTTTGAGCTTTAACATCTGAGGTATTTCCCCAGACTCTTCCCCAGTGAGCAGTCCTAAATGGGTTGCCAAGAGAAATGATCAGGGCTATTAGAATAACTTTGTGACAACATGGAAATTTACAAGATACTCTCACACTAGAAAATTATATAATGTAATAAGCATATTACATTTTTAAAGAATAAGTGGATTATTGGCCAATGGCAAGGCTTTCTATAATGTAAAAGCCCCAAGAATTTTTTTAATAAGTAATGTGATCCACATGTACAGATAGCTGTAACATTACAATAAAGACAATTTACTTCAAAACTGTTGAATCATGAATCTAAAAATTATAGCGCAATGCAAATAAACATTCATTTCAGGTTCACTCTGAGCCTGAAATAGTTCTTAATAGTGGTGTCTCATGCTTCAGTTTGCAAATACACTTCATAGCTTCATTTAGAGCATACACATTTCAGGTTAGGAGCCCTTATCTGGAACATGAAAATTACACTGAAGACCCTAGACAATAAATCCCTGACATTCCAGAAAGACCTTATCTTAAGCAACATTAATGTTACATACAATTACATAGAATTTGATTCACTTTCCAGAATGATTGGGAAATCATCTGGCTTGGTAGAAGATTTGGCCGTTATCAGGCATATTACACTTGGTTTTATTCCCTATAGGGCCTGAAGGGGAGGTCAAATAGTAACAGAATATGTTTTCTCTTTTTTAACACTGTGCTAAAAAATAATTTTTCTCCCCTCCTGGTCTGCCAAGATTCAAATCCCAAGTAACATTGGCACATTACTTAACCATTCCTCCATGACTGTTTCCTCATCTAAGAAAAGTTAAAAACATTATTCCACATGCTGTGAGGATCAAATAAGCTAAATCATAGTTGCTAGTATTATTATACTATAATATGATCACTTTTATCATTTTAGGCCCTCGGGAAACAAATTAAAATAATAACGATGGTACTAAAATGTTACTTTACAAGAGACTTTCTAAAGATACATCTATTGAGGACTTATATTGTGCCAGGCAATTTAGAGTCCTTATGTATCTTGTTTTCCTAACACTGCTCCAAAGTTATCACTCTTATCCATGTTTCAGAGATGATAGAAATGTGGTTCAGAGAGGTTAAATAATTTAACTGTGAACACACAGCCAGCAAATTGATTTGAAAAGGCTAGTTCTCTTTCCACTATTTCTACTGATGCAAGGACAATTTGACCTAAATATAAAAATGATCCTAGACACTTCCACTTATTTTAATGAAAAGTGAGTGTCGCCATAATGGAGCAGGGGACATATATATAGCTAATTACTGAAAAGAGGGTTGGAAAAAGGCTCAGGTTTTCCACTGACAGGCTTTATGGCTTTTGCAAGTCATCTTACCTCTCTGGTCCTCATTTTCCACACTGGTAAAAAGAGGAACTTGGACTAGTCTAGTTCACCTATTTAATTTTTCTGTCTCAGTTTCCTTATTTGTGAAACAAGAATATAAGTTTGCCCTCTCAGGGAAATTTCGGGGATGAAATGATTTTGAAAGTGTGTTCTAGCTATCTATTTCATAACGACTTACCAAAAATAATGACTTAAAACAATAACCATTATTTCTGTTCACAATGAATTGGGGTTTTGATAAGACCCAGCTAGGCAGGTTCTGTTCAGGTTGTCTCATGAGTTTAAGCTGGACAGTGGCTAGGGCTAGGGTCACCTTCAAAGCTTCCTTAGTAACCTGTCTGGTGCCTGAGCTGAAAAGGCTCAAACATCCAGGGGCTGGAAAAGCTGGGGCTATTTGTCTCTCTCCACATGTTATTGCTCCATGTAGGATCTCTACAAGGCAATGTTGAGATACCCAGATTGCACACATGGTGGCTTAAACACAAGCTGTTCTTATCCTGAGAACAACTTGTGAATGATACATATCCTTTCCTAACTGAACCTCTGAAATCACACAGCATCACCTCTGTTTCACTAAGTCACTAAGTACTAAGTCCTACTCAGGTTGAATAGGAGAAGGCATAGACTCCACCTCTAGACAGGAGGAGTATCCAAGAATTGCACACATCCTTTAAAAACATCCTTTAGACCACCAAAAATTGCTGAAAGTGTAGGTATCCTTATTAATTTTATGCAGATGCAGATTATTCTCTCTTGGAATTATTAACAGCAAATAGAAAACATTTCATACCAAGTCGATTCTAAGACTCTCTTCTCCAAATGTGAAATTGTGTTCTTAGGAAATATCTAACAATTGTTACATTAGTCAAAGTAAAATATAACATGGAGAAAAAAATTCTTATAAAAATATTACTAAACATGGTGTTATCTCAAGCCAAATATATTTTTAAGGCTCATCTGCTTTAAAAAGATTGTTTTCCTTTCTTTTCCTGTCTGTTAAAATGGATAATCAAAAAGTGACTATAGTAAGTATATTGGGGCATTTGGTCACTTTTGAAAATGCGACTGGGATTTTGAACCATGCTTTATAATCTGGGCCTGTGAACTATGCAGTCATTCTTAGGAGCAAGAAAGGTGAGAGGTGTGATTTCTCCTGTAAGGGCTACCAGAGTCTTAGAAGTGCCTTGGTCTCATTACTAATTAAAGATGAAGTTCTGCTGAGAAAGCATCAGTGATGAATTCAGGGATTTTCAGGGAGTTATTTGTTTACCTAAAACTGGAAGTCAGGTCAGCTGACTCTTATTTCAGTGCTCATTTAATTATTTTGCACAGTTTCTCAAGATCACTGCAAAGCTTGCATGACTTTCTACTTGAGAATAAAATACATTGAGAAGTTTAATATCTCTGTATAGTTTTGCCATAATAAATGTCCTATTGTTTAAGCCCTATTAAATTCTTATTTAAATTTGCAATGGAACCAATGTATGTTTTCCATAATGGCAAGTTATTTTATCTCAGAAGTAAATAAATCAATAAATATCCCCAATTTCCTTTATTCACTGCTATAGATTCATGATCCATAAGTTCATCTAAACCCTTCTTGATTCTATTTATTTTCTTAAGCTTATATAAATTCTGAGAACCATCACTAACTCTAGAACTCCATATTATTTAACTTAAAATGAGCTATTTAAAACTACAGGGGTATCCATACAGTTTTTAATAGCTAATCAACTCACTCAGCTTTTGTCTCTCTATAACAAAAAGGTGTTTAATTTTAAATTAGAGATTCCATATCCAGTTTGAACAATTTAAGAGTATGATCCTATTTTTATAAGATAAGTTTTTTTATTCTCTCTGTGTATTTTTCTGTCCATCCATTCAAACATCCTTCTCTTATCTCCGTATATATATCAGGCAATATTAACCAAATAGATATC